ACCTTATATGGTCTAAGGCCAACTGCCCTGCCTCTCCATGGGGTTCTGCTGAGGCCTTCACCACAAGCCACTCCACCAGTCACTCCGCTCCACCAGCCGCTCCACTCCACTCCACTCCACCAGCCACCCCGTGAGACACTCCAGCCATCCCACAAACTGCTCTGCTCCACCAGCTACTCAGCAATATATTTTCAGCCCTCCCTAAATACAGCACTCAGTGATTTCAGCTCTTAGCCATTTTTAGCACTTTAGCAATTTCAGCTTGCAGTAGGGAGCCTCAGTGCTGGTGCACCATTGGTCTAAGAAGAAGGAGCTCAGCAAACTATAATTAGACTCCTAATAGAATCAAAATTAGCTCTGATATTCCATAGTGGTGGGGAGGAAGAGGGAACAGTGCAGCTGGTGCTTCAGGCCTTCAGAAAGGCAGGGCCATACTACCAAGTGCACATATCTGTCCCCAGCCTCTCTCAATTCACTGGGTTTTGGAACCCATGTCCTTTGTCTTGCGAGTGCTACTTTGTTGATGGTGAGTCCCTTTGTCATAAAACTGTTCCACCGTCCTTGATTCACATAATCAGGGTAACAACACTTTATTCTTCCTGCCCCAATAACAGAGAAACTGGGGATCCCACAGAAACCCAAGTGACCATTTGGGCTGCTGTGGGCTCATGCTAGGCGGGGTGGGTGTGCCCATGCAAACAAGATCAGCCCCTGAAATTCTTTTACACAACTCTCCACAATTCACCATCAGATGTCAGGGTAGAGCTCATCCTGACTCTGCTTACTTGAGAATTACTCCAACCAGGACAGGTTAGGCATTTTAGAACTTACTCTTCAAAATGTGCAGACCAGTAAAAAAAAAAAACGCCCTAAAATAACAGCACTGCAATCCTTAACCAACTTTGAAATAATAAAATTACAGAGAATATAGGTGCCTTGCTCATTTCAACAGGAAATAACAACAATAATTCAAGTGTGTGTTGGGGGGAGAGTGTATTCAAGGAGTGAGAGGCTGTGTGTGTGAGTGAGAGAGAGAGAGAGAGCACGCGAGCGAGCAAGCAAGCATGCATGCATGCATGCATGCACGCTGTCACTTTAGGCTCAGTACTCACTAGTCTGAAGATTTGTTCAGACAGCAGCAGCTCCCACTCCTCACCCAGAAGCAGCAGCACAGACTCCTGTCCCCCCACCCAAACTCAGCAGAGACAGGGAACATGGGTAAGGGAAGGGGACACCACAAGATCAGTCCACCCCCCAGTGCTGCACAGCAGACAGGAGGTTCCCAGGAATAGGGTGGCCGGGGCAGCTCCAAGGTGGGGGGAAGGGGTACAGGAGCAGTGGTGGCTGCAAATAGGAGCAGAGCAACAGGGGGAGGAGGGGCACTCTCAGCCAGAAGTTTCCCCCCATAGAACATCACCCTTGGGTAGTTGCCCATCCATCCATCTCTAAGGCTGGACTTGACATCAGGAACTACTTTTATCAAGAACCAATGGGCACTAGAGAGTCACAGGAACAGCTCTGCAGTCCACATAGCTGAGTGAGGGGCCTAGACTCCCTACACAATATCCCTCTGCTCAGCAGCTCCTGTTGGTTAGGTTAGGCAGCTCCCTGCCTAGCATGCTGGCTTTTGTGTCACCCATTCAAAGGCACTTACATCTCCCTATAACTCAGGCTTTGTGGCTCAAAGTGTTATTCCAGTCATTTTCTAGGTAGCTACAGTTTAGACGCGGTGACATTCAGCATTGCAATACCTGAGTCCCTTCATGGATCCCACTCTTTGTCTCCAACTCAGAAGGAGAGAGGAAAGTCCCCCAGAATGCAGTAGGTTCATGAGGCCGGGGTTCCTGCCTGCTTTTCCTGAGCCCAGATGGGCCCCAGGATTCCCAAAGGAAGGGTGAGCTAGTGGGGACACTGCAGTTAGGTTGGTCATTTTGTGCTACATGATTTGAACTTTCTTGTGCTTTATATGGTTAAGTGAAAGAGCAATAGTGTGTTGGACTTGAGCAAAGAGTCTCTCTGTGCATGAAATGGCTTGTCTACACTGGCAATTCGCAGCACAGTACCCTGCTGGCTCAGGGGTGTGAAAAATCCACTCTCTTCCCCCTCTCCCTCACAAGCGCAGAAAGTTTGAACACTGTAAAGCACCAGTGTAGACAGGTTTTGAGCATCGATCTGGTTTACCAGGAGTGCTGGGAGATCTCTCTCCCCAGCGCTCGCGGTGACTACTCAGGCTATACTTTGCTATTTAGAAAGAGCCAAATGCTTCACAACTACTGTGTGCCTCCAGAGAGAGCAGCTGAAAACCAGCAGGCTCTCACCTTGGCGTGGAGTTCTGGGAGATGGTGTGTTCAGGCATGCGGGAGTCTGGAGGGTCAGCTCTACACCGCGGGTTAGGCAGCGGGTTTCACACCTCAGATAGGGGGAGATTCCCCAAAGAATGTGCCCAGGGACCCCAAGACTGGAGCAGTGGATGGGCTCTGTTCCAGTCCCAGAGGCTTGAATTATCTGGGGATCCTGGGGCTCAGATGCTTGAGTTCCCCTTACTGCAGTCCGGTGACACCTAACCAGGTCTGGGATATATATATATCTATATATCTATATCTACACACACACACACACACCAGTAAAGAGAAACCTTCTCAGTGCCCAGCATCCAAACACCCTTAACTCTGACCAAGTGGGTTCTGGAGACGTGAATGGAGAGGTCTCCCCCTCAGGGCTGCCACATCCCTTTGCCTTGGCTGAAGGGGGCTCTTTCCTGGATGCTTCTCCCTGTGTCTGGATAAGAGTCTCTCCCTCCAGGGCTGCAACCTCCTGCTTCCTTTGCCTTGGGGTGGGAAGGTTTCTATTAATGGTTCTTCCTGGGCTGAGGAGAGGCTCTCTCCTGTTCCACATCTTCCACCATTCTCTGTGGCTAGGATAGAGGAGCTGGTAGCTTTAACCAGAGACACCTGTGGCCAGAAGCTGCCCCAACTCTGCTGCTGGGAATGTGGCAGCTCCAGCAGGGGGAGCAGGGAGATGCAGCACGGGAGGAGACAGAAAAGCAGCAAGATAGACCGGAGTACCCAAAGGGACTGTCTGTAACTCCATGTTCAGGCTGTTATGGTGCTTGACAGGTTCACATTTTATACTTAGCGTGGGGTTTGTTTGTACCCTTGTTTGTGACTGTTTGCCCTGAAGTTGGTACTCACATTTGTGAGCTACTTTAGACAGTGGAGTCAAACCTGGGTCTCCCACATGCCAATGGAGTGCTCTAACCATGGGGGTAAAAGTTATAAGGCAGGTGACATCACAAAAACCACCTCCTCTTTCTCTCCACCCCCACACTCACATTTTGTGTGGAGCAGGGCAGGTGCCTACCTCATTCCAGCAAGAAAAGCTTTAGGTGCCTGAGCCACCTGACATCAGGTTCTGGGTTCCCGTCTGTGGGTTGCTAAGCAGAGACAGACGCCCCTCTGTGGCCCCGATTTAGGCACCTGTCTGTGAGAGGGGGCAGGGCTTAGGACACCCCTCCCCCCTTGTCTAGCTTAGATGGCTCCCTGCCTAGTGAGCTGGCTTTTGTGAATCGCACTGTAAGGTGACTCTGATGCCCATCCATTGTCAAGGGAGTTTAGGCCCCTAACTCAGCTTTGCAGAATGTGATTTTCTGGTTGCCTACAAATTAGGCCCCGTGATGCTCACCATTGCAACACCAAGTCCCTGCATGTATTGCCCCCTGTGTAACCAGTCACCTCTCCGCAGAGCATAGCTGAGCAATTCCTGATTGACATGGGTGTGTATAGGACAGAGACAGAGCACAGGCTGGATAGTGACACATCACAGTAAAACCCATACTCACCTCCTAGAGGCATGATATTCCCTGTGGGGGCTGGGAGACACAACCAAGTCAGGAAGCAAATCCAAGGACTCTGTCCCCGACAGCTGCAGCTGGGACAATAAAGTGGAGCAAACACGAAGAATTGTTTGTAATGTTTTATTTACAGTAAGTAACTAAAGGTGGTAAGTAAGCAGAGCTGAGAAGGAACCTTAATAACCACAGCATGGAAAGGAGATTCCCCAGCTACTGAGAACAGTTTTCTTAATGGCACTAAAATAGCACCAATGGCCAGGAATTGATAAAGGGAATTCATGAGTTACAGTCTCACTTTCAGTAACATGTAATAAATCTCTCTGTTCCCTTTCCTTTCATACTGTCCTTTTCTAGTCATTTTTCTAACCTTCACTTCTGATCCCTGTTTATTTTCCTGTGTCTCTCCCACTCTTCTCCCCTCCCTGTCACAGATCATCCCCCATGTCTGCTCCATTCTCCCCCTCCCCCCCCCCTGTGATTTTATCCCTTCCCCTCTTGCTGCCCCCGGGTTCCCTGCTGGTTCCCTGCCAGGGATATTTTCCTGTCACTCTTCTCATTTCTCTTTTTCACCATTTCTCCTGGACTCTCCCATTATTCTTGTTTTATTTTCATTCACATTTTCCTTCTTGCTTCTTCTAATTCCCTCTGGTTAAACCTGCCCTGTCCCTGCCTTCCCCAGTGCTGCCAACCTCACGAGTTTAAAAAATATCATGAGACTGAGCCAATGATGATTTGTTTAAGGTTATATAATGGTTTTTCCATCAATCTGCTCCCCTTACCCATCCCCCCATCCCCTTGTGTGTGTGTGTGACCATTACAGTGTTACCAGTTGTCCTGAAGTGACTTGGGCCCCTGCGGCAGGAGATCTGGCTGGGAGACCCCCTTGAGATCTAAGCCACCTGATCTGTACAAAACGCTCCCTGCTGCTGCTTCTCCCCAACCCCCCAAACCCTGATTGATTCATGTTGTGTCCCTACCACCTCCACCTCCGCCTGTGCCCAGCCTGGCTGTTAGTTCTGCCCCCTGCCCAGCCCCCACCTCTGCCCCTCAGGGCCCCTCTGCCCCTCCTGCAGCCCCAGGGGTTCTTCCCCCTCCCCCTCCCATCCCTGCAGAGAGGGAGGGGGAGGAGCTTCCAGGGATCATAGAGATGAGGAGCCAGGGGCTGGGTAGATGGGAGTCCTCCAAGATCATAGAGACTGGGGTGTGTGAGGCTAGAGAGGCTGATTTCCAGTTCCCCCCTCTGCTGTGTGTCTCAGGGACACAGTCTGAGCTGGGCTCCCTGCCACCCCCAGAGCCAGGGTCGGATTCTCTCCCCAGGGATGGAGCCTGGCGGGAAAGTGAAGATCGGGCCCTCATCATCAGCATTGATAAATGTCACCTGCCCCCGGTCACAGTCCAGACAAACCCGGATCCTGCTGGGGGCCCGGCTCAGGAACAGGGGGGTCTCAGGGGAGGTGAAAGCCCAGAACTCATCCCCAAACCGCTCCACAGCCCAGATCCCCCCCTCAGGGTTAAGGCTGATCCCTCCCTTCCTCTCCACAGTCTCTCTAGCCACCCCCACAGCCCAGCACCCCCCATCTCCCACTTCCACCTCCACCTCCCAGCAATGTCTCCCTGAGGTGAATCCTTCACAGCCCAGCACACAGGGCTCATTATCAAATCTCTCAGGGTTGTCGGGCAGTTGCTGTCGTGTGTCTCCCCATCTCACACTTTTCCGATCATCAGACAGGACGAGTCGGGGATGAGCCGTGTCTGGATCCAGAGTCACATTTGCTGCGGGGAGAGAGAGAATCAGAGCGTGAGGGGCAGAGCTCAGCCTGGCGGAGGGTTTGATGGTCTCAGTGACAGAATCTGCCCCAGCTGGAGAGTAACTCAGGGAATTTCCTTCCTCCAGGATTTACCCCTCAGCTCTGAGATCGCAGCACAGTGCTGGGGAGAGTCACGCCCCTGGCAGAGACGGGTCAGTGACAGGATCAGCTGGGCCAGGCCTGAGACTCAGAATGTTTCCCCTTCTGCCCCCACTGCTCCCTGGAAGGGGACTAGAGACTCTGGGAGCCCCAGCAGATGGTACAACTCATTGAATATTGACAGAGTTCCCCTCCCACAGACACCTTAAATCTCACTGTGTCCCAGCTGCCCCTGTGCTGGACTTTGCTATGGGGCCTCCCCACCACACCCGGCCTGCTCTGAAATGTCACAGCTCGGACAGCAACAGGCTACACAGTACCAGGATTGGACATGCCCAGAATTTCACTGCTCAGCAGCAGTCACAGCACAAAACTACATTAGCCTGGGGCAGGGAGTGAGGGGCTAAACAAGGGAAGGGGTTCATGGTGGAAGCTATGAGTGTGGAGGGAGCCAGGACAGATTAAAGTTTTGTGGATCCCTGGGCAACAGTTAAAAAGGGCCCCTCCCCACCCCTTCTGCCTGCAGAACCCCCCCTCCCCACACTCCTGCTGGGAAAATGGGGCTGGGTCATGGGGGCATGCCCTGCTCTACCCACTTGGCACTCCAGCTCGAGAACAGGGAAGACCCCACACCCTGACGCCATATCCTGGCTGGAGTGCTGGGCGGATGGAGCAGGGCAAGCCCCCGAGTCCTGACCTCACTCTCTGGCAGGAGCATGAGTAGGCAGAGCGGGTTGGGGCACAAAGGTGCCAATTTTTCTGGGGCCCCTTGGCACAGGCCCCATTGGCCCAGTGGCAAATCTGCCACTGGGAGGAGGTACAGAATAGGTGGCTTGTGGAAAGAGGTAGAGGGTCATGCTAGTGATGGGGAGGTTAAAGTGACATCCTGTTTACCAGAGACAGGAGCATGCTGGGGTCATGGTAGATGGAGAGAGAAGAAAAGAGACAAGCTCACAGTGCTGATCACAGGAGCTCTCCAGATGTGTATAATGGTCTGAGGGGAGCCCCTGTCTGTGATCAAGGCTTTGTTCCCCTGTTTGAGACAGGAGCAAGGGTCGCACACAGACACAGTCCCTGCTCACCCCATCAGTGTGGGGTTACTTCAGAGCTCCTGGCTTTCTTTAGAGGGGAAAAGATGAATGAAGAAACAAAGGGACACTGGAGATTGGAGATCAGCACAGGGAGATAAAACAAACTCCCCCATGAGAAGTGGCTGTGGAGGTGCATGTCCCACCGGAGCTGTACATTGGGTGGCAGCTGCTATCACAGATCTCTGCAGGGTGCAGTGCACATGCTGGTGGTGGATGGGAAGGAAGAGTAGATGCAATATGCTGTAGATTCATAATGGTGTGGTAGGACATAGGCATAAATCCCACCTCACCTTGTGATGTGCCATGAAATGAAGGGTGCTGGGGAGATCTGCCCTGAACTATCACGTCCACTGCCATATACAAAGAAAAAGAGGCATATTGCCTCATGGGAATGGATATTTGGACATTGATAAAATATGATCTTTAATTACCTTCTTCTATAGGTGCCACGGATCTTCTCCACCCTAAAACCAGCCACATAATTAGAGAGGAGAGCAGATCTGAACATGTATTGCATGATTCAATATTGTACAAACTAATACACTGAGGGGAAAAGGAAGTTATAAGTGCATCAGAACCTCCACTGGACTGCATGAGTGTCTCTCCCTCAGGGTGGATCTTCACTGCAGAGTTAGTTCAGGATCTTATCTGGCTGTTGCCCCAACCTGTTTAATGTGTAAGCACAAAAACTCTGACTCAAGTTTGGTGGTACTTTACACCCAGGTTAGTTGGCAAGACTTTGGGTATAGGCTATAGCCCAGGTACCACTTTAATTCAGGTTGGTTACATGCCCACTTTGCAGAATGGAGGGAAGATAATCATCTCAGGTGCTGATAGTTCACCAGTGTCTGCACAATTCCCAGGCGATATTTTTTTGGCCATTACCTACTCTACTACTGTATTGCTTATCAATTTTTAGAATTAGCTTTTGGTGTGAAATTCATCCAGTTTAGTCTTTCCCCACATTTTATAAAGTTACATTAATAAACAAACTCCAAAAGAATGATGATGATGATGATGATATTAAAAAAGCAAACAAACTAACTAAAATGGTTTCCTATTGCAACAATTTTTAAATTTAAATTTAAAAGCAAACAACCCCACCACAATTAAACAAACAGCCACATGAGACTCCAAATTGGTACAAAAAAGTTTCTTTTCAGAGGAAGGATAATGATACTTACTTATCTCGTTATCTCGTTTCTCTGAAAATGAAAGAGAAATATTTAGAATTGTTTAAAAAAATTTAGGCATTTCCTTTTCTTATGTTTTATTTCTCTTTATCATCTATACAACAGCAAAGGCTGAGAGAAATCAACCTCCTTTTCAGGACAGCAGACAAGAGGATCCAGTGCTCTTCTCTGGTCCTAAACTCTGTGACTCTATTGCTTATCAGTTTCTCAAATTAGATTTTGGTGTGAAATCTATCCAATTTAGTGCTTCCCTACATTTTATACAAGTACATTAACCCCTGCAAGAAAGAATAATAATAAAAAGCAAGTAAACAAACAAGGGGTTTCGTATTGCAAAAAATTGTAAAAGTTAAATTTAATATCAAACAACTCCAAACCATTTAAACAAACTCCTAGATCCAATTACAAAATAAAAGAAAATCCTTTTCAGAGGAAGGATAATGACACTTACCAATTTCTGTATCTCGTTTGCCTAAAAATTAAACAGAAATACACATATTGTTTGTTAGGAGTTTCCCTTTTCTTATGTTTTATTTCTCTTTATCATCAATATGACTGTTAAGACTTAGAGTTTATTTCTACTCAAACTCCTCTTATGGAGATCAGACTAGACCAGTGGTGCCCAAACTTTTCCTGTCACGCCCCCCACTTACCAGTAATGGAGTCTGTCTCAGCCCTCCCCACTCCCCCATTACATCATGGTTGGCTGAGTCCAGGAGCTTGGGCTGAAAGCAGAGCTGGGGATAAGGGAGGAGCTGGAAATAGAGGTGGAGCTGTGCTGGGGGTGGCAAGGGATTGAGGGCAGAGTTGGGCTGGAGGCAGGGCAGGCGGGGGAGTGGAGCTGCAATTGGGGTGGGAGCTGGGTTGGGGGAAAAGTGGAGCAGGGGTTGGGGATGGAGCAGGAAGTGGAGTGGAGCTGTGGCTGGGGCAGGAGCTGGGCTAGTGGGCCAAGTATGGCAGTGGCTGGGGTAGAGCAGGGGGTGGAGTGGAGCTGCAGCTGGGGCCAGACCTGGGCTGGGGGTGGAGCAGGGGACCAAGCAAAGCTGGGTGGGATCGGAGCTGGCTAGGGCCCTGCCACGCATCCCCTCCCCCAAACATTCCTTCGTTCACTCCTAGCAGGGCACACCCCACAGCTTTTGGAATAGTGGACAAGAGGATCCAGTCATTCTTTCTGGTCTTAAACTCTGTGATTCTATTATTATATTGCTTATCAATTTTCAAAATTAGCTTTTAGTGTGAAATTCATCCAGTTTAGTCTTTCCCCACAATTCATAAAGTTTCATTTAAAAACCCACACACACACACCATGAAAAGAATGATAATAGCTATAATAAAAAGCATGAAGCAAACAAATGAATAAGGTTCTCTATTGCAACAATTTTAAAAGTTAAATTTAAAAGCAAATGCCTCCACCACAATTAAACAAGCTCCCACATGAGGATCCAATCTGGTATTAAAATTTTCTTGTCAGAGGAAGGATAATGACACTTACCAATTTCTATATGCAGTTTGCCTAAAAATTAAACAGAAATACACATATTGTTTGTTAGGATTTTCCCTTGTCTTATGCTTCATTTCCCTTTATCATCAATACAATTACAGTTGAGAGATTATTATTTCTATTCACTCTCCTTTAAGCAGGTTAGACTAGACGATCCAGTCATCCCTTCTGGTATTAAACTCTGTGAATCTATTGCTTATCATTTTTTCACATTAGGTTTTCCAGTGAAATTCATCCATTGTAATCTTCCTCCATGTTTTATAAAGTTACATTACAAAACAAACCCGTATAAACCCCAACAAGAATTATAGTAATAATAAAAAGGAAGCAAACAAACTTAAAAGATTTCATATTGCAACAATTTTAAAAGTTACATTTGAAAACAAACACCTCCACCACAATTAAACAAACTGCCACATGAGGATCTAAATTGGTACAAAAATTTCTTATCAGAGGAACGATAATGACACTTACTTATTTCTTTATCTCGGTTGTCTAAAAAAAATTAAGATAAATAAATATATATATTTGTTAGGCATTTATATTTTCTTATGTTTTATTTCTCTTTAGTCCACCAGTGCCTTTGCACAATTCCCGGGACATATTTTTTGGGCCATTACCTCCCACATGTCAGAAGAAGGATAATGACACTTACCAACTTCTATATCTTGTTTGCCTAAAAATTAAACAGAAATACACATATTGTATGTTAGGAATTTCCCTTTTCTTTTGTTTTATTTCTCATTATCATTAATATGATAATTAAGGTTTAGAAATTATTTCTATTCATTTTCCTCTTAAGGAGATCAGACTAGATGAGCTGGTCGTCCCTTCTGGTCTTAAATTCTGTGATTCTATCAGAACCATAGGTTTCAAAGTAGCAGCCGTGTTAGTCTGTATCCGCAAAAAGAACAGGAGTATTTGTGGCACCTTAGAGTCTAACACATTTATTTCAGCATAAGCTTTCGTGGGCTGCAGCTCACTTCTTCAGATGCATAGAGTGAAACACACAGACAGAAGATATTTATGCCAACCGAGAACATGAAGATGTGGATGTGCGCACTCCGATTGTAAGAGGCCAATGAATTGGGAT